TGACAGCCTTGGAGACCCTGTGGGCAGTTCCACTCTGTCTTCTAGGGGCGCTGTGGGTAGAATGACTCAGAAGCAGCGGGTTTAAAGGAGCCCTGCTGGTGCAGTGGTGAAGTGTTCGGCTGCTAACCAGAAGCTCGGTGGTTCAGGCCAGCTGCTGCGTAGGAGAAAAACCTGGAGCTGTGCTTCCGTAAAGACCCTTGGGGCAGTTCTGCCCTGTCCTGCCGGGTTGCTAGGAGGTGGAGTCCACGCGGCAGCAGGGGGTTATGTGCAGATGTGGTTTTGAGCACAGCAGAGGTTCTGGCTCAGAGGTTTGCTTTGAAAACTCTGGGGAGGCCTCAGGCTGATTGCTTTACCCTCCCTGGAGACCAGGACCTGGGATGAACCTCAGGGGGTGCCACCCAGGGAGTGTTCCTGAGCATGGGTTTGTCACAGAGATGTCAAGCTCCCTGGGCTTTGCACACAGTAGGACCACAGGTGTGTCCCTCAGTGTCGTGGATCCATCACGGAGATGCTGAGCTCACTGGGGCTTTTGCACACAGTAGGACCACAGGCGTATTCCTCAGTGTGGTGGGTCCATCATGGAGATGCTGAGCTCCCCAGAGCTTTGCACACAGTAGGCCCCCAGGCTGGATTGGTTCCGGGTCACAGAAAGTAAGGAGAGAAGTTGGGATTGGGGACCTCTGTCCGTGCCAGCTGAGTTTGAGAATGGTTGGCTCCATGTCTTCACACTTGAATGGGAGCTGTTGTTGTCTCTACTGTGCAAACAAGCCCAGAGACAACCGGGTGACTGGGCAAGGTCACACAGCGTGTTGGTGGGGAGGCTGCTTTTAGACTCTTGGCGGTTAGATCCACCACTGTCTTACCACACAACCACTTGTGTTCTTGGAAGAATCCCAAGGCAGGAAGCCACCCAGTGTGGCCACCTGCTCTCTGCCGCTTCCCCTCCAGGCAGCCTGCTTCCTCTAACACGTGGTGCCTGCCTTACAGAAGACACTGGACGTTGCTTGGGGGCACTGTGGGTTGTCACAACTCGAGGCACTACTGGTATCCAGTGGGCACAGGGTGCTGGCCACACGTCCCACAGTCCCACAGTGCACAGGATGGCTTGGAGTGTTGGCATTGTTAAGGCTGAGAGTGCTCCCCCTGGAGCTCAGATTCTTCATGTCCTGCCCCAAGCTGGCACCTTGTCCCAGTTTTGGGAAGCAGAGTGTGTGAGAACTGGTCACACAGCTAAGGGGCCAAAAGCCCAGCATCTGCACCAGCTGTCGTTGATAAGTAGATTCTGAGGCTCTGAGAAGGAGAAGCCCATAAAGAGTAGCGGTTGGGGCACAGACTCGGGCCAGCCTGCTCACTCAGTAGCCAGGTGGCCCCAGGCAAAGTCACTTAACCTTGCTGAGTCTGTTTCCCCATTTGTACTATAGAATTAGTATCTACTTTGTGTTCCTGTTGGGTGCCATGGAGTCGGTTCCTGTGTTACAGAGTGGAGATGCCCTATAGGGTTGCTGCCAAAGGGTCAAGGAGGCGGCATCTTCTGACCTCCTCTAACCCCACACGAGGAAGACAGAATCACCCTAGTAGCCCAAGGCCTATTCCTATGAGGACAGACATGCTGCCTCCCTCCAGCCCTTTCATCACCAGCCATTCCTCCTGCAGCACGCACCACCTCTTTGCTGGGTTCAGTAGTTTGCGGCAGTGGCCACACAGAACTCACAGATTATGGAGTTTCTTAGGGAAGCAACAGGCTAAAATTCAAGTTCAGAAATGCACTCAGTCTCTCGCCGCTGGCCGTCTCACTCAGCAGCCAGCAGTCTCAGTAGCACATCTCTCTCTCAACAGTGTGTCTCTCATGTCTCTCAGGAGTGCGTTTATCTCAGCAGCACATCTTTCTCAGCCTGCAGTCAGAGAGACTCCTGCCTCTAGGAGGGCTCCTTTTGATCCTGGCAGAGTGACCACTAACCAATGCCAACATCAGAATTCTATAACCTGAGAGAGAATGTCCCAGATTGCTTTCTGCCACTGGCAACAGAAATAGCCCAGGTGGATAATGTTAACAATCAGGAGCTCCTCAGTTGCTCACAGCCAGTTCCTCCACGGAGCTTACAAGGACTGAGGGCTAGAAAAGCCGCACTGTCATTCACCACACCGCGGTCTCCTGGGCTGTGGTCTACGGAAGCCACACTGCCGTTCACCGCACCGTGGTCTCCTGGGCTGTGGTCTTCACGCAAGTCGGCCACTAGGTCTCTTCTCCTGCAGAGCTGCTGGGTGGGTTTGAACCGTCAGCCTTCTGTTTAGCTGCCGAGTGCTGACCACTGCAGCGGCAGGGCCTGTTTTACGGCTTTACTGAGTTAGCGTGTAGAAAGCACTGAGAACTGTGCCCGCTTCCCTGCTCAGAGCTTAGTAAGTGATCCTGCTCATTATGGTTGGTATTTTGTTCTGTGTGGTGTGTTGTGGTGGCCGTGCCTCCTCTTGGGAGACACCACATGTATGTGCACACGTGTGTCCTTGCAAACACGCAAGTGTGTAGCTCCTTGGCACCCGAGCGTCTGGGTGGGCACTCACCCTCTCTGCCCCTGCAGGGCACTCCGGCTGACGTCCTGTACAAAGGCACCATCACCAGGATCATCGGCGAGGACAGCCCCAGCCGTCTGGACCGTGGCCGGGAGGACGGCCTGCCCAAGGGCCACGTCATCTACGAGGGCAAGAAGGGCCACGTGCTCTCCTATGAGGGTGCGTTGCCGGGGGTTCTGTTCTGAACGCCTGCCTGGGCTGGTGTTGGTACTCACAGGACTAGTGGGGAGAGGGGAAGCTGGCCACTCACAGTCGGCATCTCCCCAACACTGACCATACATGAGGCCAGGGCTGGGTGCTGGTTCAGAAACGATTTGAGCCCTGCCCTCCGGAGCCCTGACCAGGGCCACTGCGGGGCCTGTGGCTTGTCACTAGTAAGTCTGGAAGCTGCCCTGGCCAGGTTGGCTCGTCTGTGAAAATGCCTCAGTGCATCTGGACTCGAGACAGCAGTGTCCAGGAGAACAGGGCAGTGGGTCCAAGGTGGAGCCAGGCGTCCTCAGAAAACAAGCCTGAGGGGTTGGCTGGCTCCTCTCCCATCAGTCTGTGTGGCTGGCAGCTGGGGTGAAGAGTTTTATTTCCATTTTGCAAATGAGGACATTGAGGTACTGCAGTGGCCAGTGGGCCTTCTGTGTGGCCAGCCTCCAGGCTCCTCAAGGAAAGGAGGCCTGGGGCTGGGGAGGAGGGTGATTGATTGGCCCGCTGGGGAGGCTTTCCAGGGAGGCCAAGTGGGATGGAGCCTGCAAGCACAGAGAGGTGGTGACCCTCCCATTCCTGCAGGAATGTAATCCAGAGAGCAGGGGGCCAGTGCCGGCCATGGCGGCCCTCGCTGCCTGCCAGCCATGGCGGCCGTGGTGGCCCTCGCTGCCTGCCAGCCATGGCGGCCCCCGCCGCCTGCCCCCTCTGCCGGCCGTGGCGGCCCCCGCCGCCTGCCGCCTCTGCCTAGTTCTGTGCAGTGTAGGAAGCACATCTGAGGACCATAGGTTTCCAGGTGGAGAAACTGAGGCCCAGGGTGCTACCACCAGGACCGCACTGTGGGGTGACCACAAGGGGCAACAGCCGGGGCAATCCTGGAAGCTTGCTTCAGTGCCCCCCACCCCAGAACCCTGCAAGGAAGGGGTTAAGGAAGTGATGCACAGAGGGGCTGAGCTTCCTGGCAACCGTGGGTACCCAGGCGTGTGGAGACAAAAGCCGATAATGGCGCCCCTCGCAGTGGCTGGCAGCTGCACACCCTGAATGGTCTCTCCTTCACGGAGATCAGCTGATGTCTTGAAGCGGCTCACCCAAGCACCTGGCGAAGCTTTCTCCTCCCCGCCTGCCTCTGCTGTGGTCAGCAGCCCCCCGCCTGTACCCAGGGAGTGGCGAGGGGGGCTTTGTGACAGTTACTGCCTCTCCAGGCGGCCACGTGGAGATGGTCTTGGGCACAGGGAACAGCTGCATCTTTGGATGCCAGCTCCACTGGGAGCTCAGGTTTGGTCCCTGGCTGAGTGCACTGGCATGTCGCCTGGGGGACCCTGAGGGATGGCCCCGGTGGTCAGGTCTGCAGGATGTGGTGGGACAGAAAACACGAGATTGGAACCTCAACTCTGGACCAGTTCTATTCACATTCATCATCTTCAAAATGGGTTGAAACCTGGGCTTTCAAATTCCATACGCTTTCTGGCGCCAGGGGCCAGTGAGGAAAGCAGGCCAAGTGCAAGGCAATAGGGAGTGGAAGCGACTGTGGCAAACTGGGGAGCAAACAGTGAGTCTGGAGGGGCAGCTGCCATTCACTAGCTCACTGTCACCCGGTGAGATCTCACCAGTGTCGTCAGAAATCTCCCGATGTTTACACATCAGCAGTTAATTTGGAATATCCTACAGCAGCAACATGGGCCGTCCAGGGCAGCCTGTGGGTGGTGAGTCCTCTGAGGGTCCGGTTAGCTAGCAGGTGGAAATCAACGAGCAACCCGGCTGGTGTCTTGGTCGGACCTGCACCGGGGCAGGGCTGCAGCGCTCAGGAACTTCTGATGTCCCCAGACTCAGATCCCCTTGGGAAGGGGGTCCCCTTCAGGACCCCAGCCTGATGGGTGAGACCACGCCTCTGCCTTCACCAGACCTAGCTGGAGCTCAGTCTGAGGCCCCCGTCCCGCCCCGGCCCTTGGCTCACCTTGGCTTGACCACACCTCCCCTGCCACGGGCTGCTTTGCTCTGACCTCTCTACCACAGGCATACCCCTCCCCATGCGGGCTTGTCACGTGCATGTGTTAATCCACACATGTGCAAGTAGACCGAAGCTCAGGGTTGGGTGTGAGCATACGTCCTCCTCACACCTGTGCACTACCCGGCCCGCTGGGACACGTGCTCACAGAGGCACTTTGTGCTCAGCAACCATGTGCATGCACATGTCTGCACACAAAGACATACATTGACATGCATGTCCACAGCCTGCCAATACATGTCTGCACACCTGTGTCGTGTGTTGGGATTGTGTGTGTGGGCATGTTTGCATGCTCACGCTCGTGGTGGACACAGACACACTTAGATGCTGCCGGGACCGCCTGGTGACTCGCGGCAGGACCATGGGAGGCTCCCCTGCTTGTCCATGGGAGTTGCCTAGATGAGCTGGGAGGCTGGTTGCTAGGGTCCCATTGGCCGGTAGCAGGTTGGACCACGGGCCCTTGAGTCTTGTGGCCTTGGGGGTCTGCGGTCAGACAGGCTGGTGCCTGCCATTGCTGATGCAGCACACAAGCCCACCCCAGGCCTTCGTGCCATGCCTGTCTGCTGTCCAGGTGGTGTGTCTGTGTCCCAGTGCTCCAAGGAGGATGGCAGGAGCAGCTCTGGTCCCCCCCACGAGACAGCTGCCCCCAAGCGCACTTACGACATGATGGAGGGCCGTGTCAGCAGAGCCATCTCCTCCGCCAGCATTGAAGGTGGGTGCCTCGCCAGCCCCTGTGCCGGGAGATGCAGGCATGCTCGGGGGACTGGGACCTCCCCCAGGGGATGCCCAGCTGACTGGGTTCTGGCCGTGGAGAGCCATCTCAGCAGCCCCGTTAGAGGGGCTACAGCTGGAGAAGCTGAGGCTGTCTGGGGGCAGGGCAGAGCCCAGAGGATGGAAGCCCTGGTTGCTGGGTCCTTGTCCGCCATTATCATCAGGGGTGGCCTCTAGTTGCATTGCTGGGAGGTACAGTTGCCTTCTCTCTAACCAAAGGCAGTCAGGTCAGTGCCCCGTACAACAACGGTCTTACCCTTTGCCAGGTCTCATGGGCCGCGCCATCCCACCTGAGCGGCACAGCCCCCACCCTCTCAAGGAGCAGCCCCACATCCGCGGCTCCATCACACAAGGTACCGCTCAGCCCCTGGGGGGGTCCCCAGAGGAGCCGCAACCAACCAGCCAGCCCTCGAGGGGTGTGTGGTCAGAGTAGGTGGGGGAGGGGACAATGTCCAGAGTGCTGTGGGGACGCAGTGGGTGAGTGCAACACACATATCCATGAAGAAGAGTTCAGTACGTGTGTATGAGCCTAACACAGGTACATGAATGTAACATAGACACATGGAGAGGATGTAACACACGTGTATGTGAGCGCAACACAAGGCATGGAAAGGAATGTAACACGTGTGTGCGTGAGCATAACACGGGGGTGTGGAGGAGTGTGACACACCCATATGTGAAAATACCCGCACAGATGGAAACACGAAGCGAGGGTATTGGTTTATGTGAAAATTGGAAGAGCGCAGAATACCCCACACCGTCTGACACCCACCGCTCCCTGGACAGCACCTGCTACGTGCTGGGCACACTTTGCACGCCATCCCCTGGGGCGGTCTCGGAGGGAGAGACGGTGGGCGGAAGCCCATTTAATTATGAGGAAATGGAGCTCAGGGAGGCCGCTCCTCTCCCTGGTCAGTGGCAGAGCTGGTTCCTGCGGCTCACTGAATGGTCCTGCTCTGAGAGGCTGCTCAGTGTTTTCACGTGTAAAGCAGCTCAGAGAGGTAAAGTGATGTGCTCAGGGTCACACAGCAGTGAGAACGGGAACCTGGGCTGTGTGGCTCAGAGCCAGCCGGTGTGCAGGCCTCGGACCAGGGGAGGCGGGTCTGAGCCTCAGGTCAGTGCCCCGTTTGCCCCGCAGGGATCCCGCGCTCCTACGTGGAGGCCCAGGAGGATTACCTGCGACGGGAGGCCAAGCTGCTGAAGCGAGAGGGCACCCCGCCGCCCCCGCCCCCACCCCCCCGCGACCTGCCCGAGGCTTACAAGGCCAGGCCCCTGGAGGCACTGGGCCCACTGAAGCTGAAGCCAGCACACGAGGGCCTGGTGGCCACGGTCAAGGAGGCCGGCCGCTCCATCCACGAGATTCCCCGGGAGGAGCTGCGGCACACCCCTGAGCTGCCTCTGGCCCCACGACCCCTCAAGGAGGGCTCCATCACCCAGGTGCGGGCTCGGGCAGGACCGTGTCGCCGAGACCGGGGTGTGGGGGGCTCACGGCCACAGTTACTGAGCGAGGCCTCAATGCAGCGTCTCCCCAGGCCTGGGAGGTTCAGGCCCCTTGTTCCTGGTCTTCAGGTAGGGACACTGAAGGCCAGAGAGGTCACTCAGCCTGCCCGGAGCTCAGTGTACCAGTCAGTCCTGTGGTCAGTCGAGTCCTTGTTGTGGGCCCAGTGCTGCAGAGTGCTTTCTGTGTGTGGCTTGTTCCTGCCTCACAGCCATGGCCTCAGCTGGTTCTCTTACTGTCCCCGCGTAATTGGTGAGTAAGCTGAGGTCCAGAGAGGTCCAGCGACTTGCCTGAAGTCACACAGTAAGCAGACAGCAGTTGTGAAACTCAAATCCAGATGTGGCTCAATCTGCAACATCTGTGCTTCTCACGATCCACCTCCCCTGCTGGCAGGATTTGCCCCACACGGCTCCTGCCCTCTCCAGGAGCACCCCCACTCCCAGCAGGGAAGGTCAGCTTTGAGTGTGTGAGGATCTGGGTAGTGGGAACCACCTCGAGGCCACCATCCCTTCCGGTGCTCAGAGCTGGCCTGAAGGGAACAAGTCGGGCTGAGTAGAGGGGGTAGGGTGGAGGCCCAGAGGGGCTGGTCTGCAGAGCGGCACTAAGCGCCCACAGAGGACACTGTCCCACGCCAGGGGGAGGGTGTGGCTCAGCCCCCAGCCAGTTATGGGAGGTAGTCTGATTCTGGAATATTTTCTTTCATTAGAACATGGCTACCTTTCAGTTCATCCCTGAGTGAATGTAGTGTTGTAACTTGAACGACACAAGGCCTCACTTTGTCCAGTGTTTTCCGGACCCATGGAGACAGGCCGTGGCCCACAGCTTGCCATTTCTGTAGCTGCCACCCCTTGTGGCTGGAGAGCAGCATGAGCCTTGGTCAGCCTCGGCAGCCGAGGCTTCAAGCCCTGGCATGGGTGGACCTGGGTTTTGCTACTGGACGTTAGGGGGGGGTGGCTGTGGAGGGTTCAAGGCGGAAAGGAGGAAGGTTTTTGCTAGCCCAGGAGTATTGGGCCTTTTCACAGCCCACCCGGGGTCAGCAGAGGGTCTCCTGCTTACAACAGGAAGAGCTGACCCAAACTTCCTGCCACTTCTGCAGCTGTGCTTGGAGAGGCTCCCTTAAGGGCTGGGCTAGCAGCCAGGACCAGGGTGAGCACAGTGGCAAGGGACAGTTCCCGGTGCCCTGACAGGCCTAGCAATGCCTTTCTTCTCCTTGCCCCATTGTACAGCTGGGGAGCTAAAGTTCAGAGAGGCCCTGCAGGGGTCTGGGCCCACAGCCTGTGGCCGCGGCTTTTCTCACACCGTTTCTCCCCCAGGGCACCCCACTCAAGTACGACGCCAGCGCGTCCTCCGCCAGCTCCAAGAAGCATGACGTGCGTTCCATCATTGGCAGCCCTGGGCGGACGTTCCCGCCTGTGCATCCGCTGGATGTGATGGTTGACACCCGCGCGCTAGAGCGAGCCTGCTACGAGGAGAGCCTGAAGGGCCGGCCAGGGGCCGTCGGCGGCTCCGGGGGTTCCATTACACGTGGCGCCCCGGTCATTGTGCCTGAGCTGGGCAAGCCACGCCAGAGCCCCCTCGCTTACGAGGACCATGGGGCACCCTTTTCTAGCCACCTGCCCCGTGGCTCACCTGTGACCACGAGGGAGCCCACGCCGCGCCTGCAGGAGGGTGAGTGGGCCCAGGTGTGGGAGTGGCTCCCTGACTTGGAACACTGCCTCTCGGGCCACCCTCACTGCCCCCAGCAGGTCCGTCAACACAGCCTACAGATCCTACCTGTCTCCCCCTCAGAGTAGACTGTCTTCTCTCCGTGACTCTCCACCCAGGCTTCCCTCGTTCCTGGCACAATCTCCTTCCAAACGACAGCCGAAATAATTTTTTTAAATTTTAATCACATTTATGCCACTGCCCAGCTTTAATCTTGCACGTGACTTCTTGCTGCACTTACGAAAAAAAAATCCGTATTTCACCCCATCAGTTTGGGGACCCTGCCTGCCCTGGCACCTGCCTGCTGCCCTGTCAGTCCTATATCCTCAGGCCCGCCACACAGGTCCCTGGGGCTCAGCCCCACTCAGGGCCGGAGCACGTGCTGTTCCACTGCCCAGGATGCCTTGTCCGCTTCCTGTCTGCCCCTCACTGGTCCCTTCCCATCCTCCCAGTCTCTGCCCAAACCCTCTCCTCAGAGGCTGTTTAGAATCAAACCCCCATCCTCGTCCTGGTCAGGTTTGCCACGTTGCAGTGATAACACACGTTCTTCAGGGTCTGTCCCTCAGAAATTCTCGTCTGTTTACTAGCTAGTCATCTGTCTCCCTCACTAAATGTTATTTCCATGGAGCTGGAGTTTTGCTCTACACTGCTAACCCAGAGGTCAGCGGTTCAACCCACCAGCTGCTCTGTGGGAGAAAGATGAAGCAGTCTGCTTCCATAGATGACAGCCTTGGGAACTCTGTAAGGGCAGTTCCATTCTGTCCTCTAGGGGCGCTGTGGGTCAGAATCGACTCCATGGCAGTGGGTGTGGTTTGGGTTTTGCTTCTGTGAAGACTGACAGCCTTGGAGACCCTGTGGGCAGTTCCACTCTGTCTTCTAGGGGCGCTGTGGGTAGAATGACTCAGAAGCAGCGGGTTTAAAGGAGCCCTGCTGGTGCAGTGGTGAAGTGTTCGGCTGCTAACCAGAAGCTCGGTGGTTCAGGCCAGCTGCTGCGTAGGAGAAAAACCTGGAGCTGTGCTTCCGTAAAGACCCTTGGGGCAGTTCTGCCCTGTCCTGCCGGGTTGCTAGGAGGTGGAGTCCACGCGGCAGCAGGGGGTTATGTGCAGATGTGGTTTTGAGCACAGCAGAGGTTCTGGCTCAGAGGTTTGCTTTGAAAACTCTGGGGAGGCCTCAGGCTGATTGCTTTACCCTCCCTGGAGACCAGGACCTGGGATGAACCTCAGGGGGTGCCACCCAGGGAGTGTTCCTGAGCATGGGTTTGTCACAGAGATGTCAAGCTCCCTGGGCTTTGCACACAGTAGGACCACAGGTGTGTCCCTCAGTGTCGTGGATCCATCACGGAGATGCTGAGCTCACTGGGGCTTTTGCACACAGTAGGACCACAGGCGTATTCCTCAGTGTGGTGGGTCCATCATGGAGATGCTGAGCTCCCCAGAGCTTTGCACACAGTAGGCCCCCAGGCTGGATTGGTTCCGGGTCACAGAAAGTAAGGAGAGAAGTTGGGATTGGGGACCTCTGTCCGTGCCAGCTGAGTTTGAGAATGGTTGGCTCCATGTCTTCACACTTGAATGGGAGCTGTTGTTGTCTCTACTGTGCAAACAAGCCCAGAGACAACCGGGTGACTGGGCAAGGTCACACAGCGTGTTGGTGGGGAGGCTGCTTTTAGACTCTTGGCGGTTAGATCCACCACTGTCTTACCACACAACCACTTGTGTTCTTGGAAGAATCCCAAGGCAGGAAGCCACCCAGTGTGGCCACCTGCTCTCTGCCGCTTCCCCTCCAGGCAGCCTGCTTCCTCTAACACGTGGTGCCTGCCTTACAGAAGACACTGGACGTTGCTTGGGGGCACTGTGGGTTGTCACAACTCGAGGCACTACTGGTATCCAGTGGGCACAGGGTGCTGGCCACACGTCCCACAGTCCCACAGTGCACAGGATGGCTTGGAGTGTTGGCATTGTTAAGGCTGAGAGTGCTCCCCCTGGAGCTCAGATTCTTCATGTCCTGCCCCAAGCTGGCACCTTGTCCCAGTTTTGGGAAGCAGAGTGTGTGAGAACTGGTCACACAGCTAAGGGGCCAAAAGCCCAGCATCTGCACCAGCTGTCGTTGATAAGTAGATTCTGAGGCTCTGAGAAGGAGAAGCCCATAAAGAGTAGCGGTTGGGGCACAGACTCGGGCCAGCCTGCTCACTCAGTAGCCAGGTGGCCCCAGGCAAAGTCACTTAACCTTGCTGAGTCTGTTTCCCCATTTGTACTATAGAATTAGTATCTACTTTGTGTTCCTGTTGGGTGCCATGGAGTCGGTTCCTGTGTTACAGAGTGGAGATGCCCTATAGGGTTGCTGCCAAAGGGTCAAGGAGGCGGCATCTTCTGACCTCCTCTAACCCCACACGAGGAAGACAGAATCACCCTAGTAGCCCAAGGCCTATTCCTATGAGGACAGACATGCTGCCTCCCTCCAGCCCTTTCATCACCAGCCATTCCTCCTGCAGCACGCACCACCTCTTTGCTGGGTTCAGTAGTTTGCGGCAGTGGCCACACAGAACTCACAGATTATGGAGTTTCTTAGGGAAGCAACAGGCTAAAATTCAAGTTCAGAAATGCACTCAGTCTCTCGCCGCTGGCCGTCTCACTCAGCAGCCAGCAGTCTCAGTAGCACATCTCTCTCTCA